CTGAAAAATATGCTCAAATACTAAAAGTAGTTGGGGGGTACCTAGTGTTCATCAGTGAATGAATGGATAAAAAAAGTGAAATATTAAGTTTTAAAAAGAAAGGAGATTCTGATACATGCTACAACATGGATGAACTTTGAGGCTAGTATGCCAAGTCAAATAAGCCAGACACCAAAGGATGATATGATTCCACTTACATGAAGAAACTAGAACAGTCAAATCAGAGAGACAAAAAATAGTACAGTGGTGGCTCAGGGCTGGGGAGAGGTTCAAGAGGGAGTTACCGGTTTAATGGCTATTGTTTCAATTTGAGCAGATGAAAAACTTCTGGGAACAGATGACTGCACAACAGTGTATGCACTTAATGTCACTGGTGTGTACACTTTCCAATGGTAAATGTTTATATATGTTTTACCCCAATAAAAAAGTGATTGGGGGCCCTCCCTGGTGGCGCAGCAGGTTAAAGCACTGCACTGAAAAGTTAAAGCCACTTCCGCATGAGTTCAATTCCCGCCTGCCCCGGAGGTGACCACATGGCACTGCAGACCTCTCCTGACCCGCCCGCTGCTCCCCTCAGCAGTGTACTTCGTGGATCTGCCTGTTCTGCTCCCCACTCTGTCTCTGGTGAAGCCTCTCGCCACCCCTGAGCCTCTGGCCTGTACCCCAGTTCTGTATGTACAAATAAAATAAATCTTTAAAAAAAAAAAAGTGATTGGGAAGGAAGAGTTTAGGAAATGTTCAAGGTTTTCATTATCGACTCTTTACAATGAAACTGACTTGGTAACACTTGAGTGTATAAACAAGACTGAGGGGGGCAAAGCTAAACATGTGAAAAAGCTGGGAAGAGAAAATATATTACTGTGGGGAAGGAAAGAGAATGAAGAGAAACAACTAGGAGGGGAAGCCAGCCAGGACAGTGCAGGAACATCAGGGAGTGGGGAGCCTCGTGGAAGGGCAGTAGAAGGTTTTGGGAGACCAAAAACACCTAGTGGACATTAAGTTGCCTTGCTGAGGAATGTGTGTACCACACTTACACACATATACACCCACTCACCAGCCAGACCGCAGGGACCCCACGGGAGAGCTTCAGTTGCCAATAACTCAATTCAAACACATTTTTAACGCTTGTCTCCTTGCAGATGTTGCTTTTTATTATCCCCTACAAACTCCAATGAGGAACAATTCCCCCATAATCCTCCAGCTGTCACAACATGGCTATCCTTGCATCCCAGGACAGCTTTAACCCTCAGCACCCCAACAGCACCCCGAGAGCCTGGGACCATCTTTAACAGAGTGGGACAGTGAGGATTTAGCCCAGCAGGCCAGTCTTTGGGCAGAGAGGGTGAGTCATGCCTTAGGAGGGGGACCTGTATCAACAACACAGAGGCAAGCAGTTCTGGAGGATGTAATCATTACTGTGAGAAGGGAAATTGCACAAGTTCCTTTCTTATGGAGGAAAACTGTTTGCTGGTCTCTTATGTACGGAGAATGTCTGACCCTGTGCAAACACCCCACTACACACACAGCACTCAGAACTATTGTGCCACAAACCCATACCTACTTTAGATTCAAAGTTGTGGGGGAAGGGAGACTAGCCACAGGAGAGCTAACATTTCCTTGGTAAGTTTTACTTCTGGCTCACGGAAGATTTTACTTAGCAAGATGTTAAAACATCAAGCAATCAGGATCACTGTCTTCTAACATATGATAAGATAAAATCTGATAGCACAATGTGAACTTTCAAATAGATAAGAGAATCTTTAATCATGGGGGAAAACTACAAAATCTTGAAGTCAGTGGACAAGAACTGGAAAGGATGGAAAGGTATTTGGTAGTATAACAAATGTTTCTCTCTCTCTCTCTCTCTTTTAATCATGGCGCCAATATGGTAAGTATCTACTCAATAGTGTCTCATTTAAAAACCACAGCAACCCATCAGTAACAGAATTATCCCCATTCTGTGGATGAACAAAGATAGGCTCACCAAGGTAAAGTCACAGGCATTTGGCTGTTTGCTGGCTTTCCAACCCTAGTGTGACTTTCTTTCCATCCCTAAGCAAGCTGTGCGATACATAGGAAAGAACATCTATTTGGCCCAAATCTATTCCACATTTTAAGCTGCAGTTATCCAAGATGAAAAAGCCAAGAGACAGCAGAGTCTCAGAAGTGCACTGAAAATGCTGGGCTAGAGGGACAGCTGTGTGTACAAAGGCATGTGTCAGAACAAAAGCATGACCTCAAGTAGCAGGCCCTCTTCACACTCTCGAAAATTCTTGAGGCATCCACATAGAAACATGTATATGAATATTTATAACATATTTATTACAATTTCCAAAACTTGGAAGCAACCCAAATGTCCAGTGGGTGATGGATAAACTGGTTCATCTAGATAACAGATTATTATTCAGCTCTTAAAAGAATGAGCCATCAAACCACAAAAAGGCCTGGAGGGACCTTAAATGCACACTACTAAGTGAAAGAACTTTGAAAAGGCTATATAATGTAGGAATCCATCTATATGACATTCTGGAAAAGGTCAAACTAGGAAGACAATAAAAAGATCAAATAGTTGTTAGGGGGCATGGGAATGGGAAGGTGAAGAGGCCAGCCCAGTGGATTCTTAGGGTATCATACTGTTATGCTACCATGATAATGAACACATGGCATTATATATCTACCCCAACTCTTAGAATGCACAACACTGAGAGTGAATGGTCCATTGGTCCGTGTAAACTATAGACTTTGGGTGATTATGATGTGCCAACACAGGTTCATCCTTGACATTAAAAAAAAAGTGCATAATGGTGAGTGATAGTCACAACAGAAAAGGCTGTGCATGGGGGGGGGGAGGTGTGGAAAATCTTTATACTTCCTCTCAATCTTCTTATAAACCAAAAATGGCTTAAAAAAAAAAACTTTAAAAAAACTGTTGTGAAGGCCTTCCCTGTTGGCGCAGCGGGTTAAAGCACAGCACTGAGAAGCTAAAGCCACTTCCACATGAGTTCGATTCCCGCCTACCCGGAGGTGAGTAGGCGACCGACCACATGGTGACAGACCTCTCCTGACCCGCCCGCTGCTCCCCTCAGCAGTGTACTTCGTGGATCTGCCTGTTCTGCTCCCCACTCTGTCTCTGGTGAAGCCTCTCGCCGCCCCTGAGCCTCTGGCCTGTACCCCAATTCTGTATGCACAAATAAATAAATCTTTAAAAAATAAATAAATAAGGCCCTCCCTGGTGGCACAGCGGGTAAAAGCGCTGCACTAAAAGCCACTTTCGCATGAGTTCAATCCCCGCCTGCTCCGGAGGAGATCCACATGGCGTGGCAGACCTCTCCTGGCCAGCCCACTGCTCCCCTCAGCAGTGTACTGCGTGGATCTGCCTGCTCTGCTCCCCACTCTGTCTCTGGTGAATCCTCTCACCCTCTGCATCTCTGGCCTGTACCCCAGTTCTGTATAAATAAATAAATAAATCTTTAAAAATAAATAAATAAATAAAATTAAAAAATAAACTGTTGTGAACCCCAAGTACCTGTTATTTACCAAATCAGACATTTAAACAGCAAAATTATTTAAATTATAATTATTCATTTGCAAATAATAGTAATAAACTCAAATTTTTTAATGAAAACAATATTTCCAAAACAAAATATAGTAATAAAAGTAGCACTGTTCAGCATTTCTACAAATCCCTTTAACATCCGTCTTAATAGAAGACAGCTGGATTTCCCTTGCTGCTTTTGCCTTTAGCCTGTTGAAATATTACTTACCTTGTGGTCTCTGAAAGCCACTGCTGCGCAATCATCAGAAATGAGAATGATGAGCTCAATAAAATCTTAGTATTGTGGTAAAAGTAAATTTTAACTTTTGAATCTCCTGAAACCATCTTTGGTACCCCCAGAGGGTTCCTGGACCACACTTTGAGAACCAAAACACAACGATCTATGTGTAGGAGACAGAAAAAGAAGGGCCCAGGACTCTCAAAGATATACCCATCATCTCACGCAAGACAGCACACAGTAGTTACCTATCTTCTTTTCCAAGATCCCACTATTCAAGGGGTCTCCTTCCTTCCCTACTCTACAGTTGAGAGAGAAACTCAAATTAGCTAATCCTTCCTTGGAACGTGCCACATTTTTATTAGGGGTTTTCTTAAGCTAAAACTCCAGAGCACGGTGTTTCAGTACGCTTTCCAGACCACCCGAGAAGGGCTCCACGCTCTGCCGAGCACGGCAGAAGGCCCCTAGGGAAAGAAGCACGAGCACTGAGTTCTGATCCTGACAGGCTGACCACTGAGCCATTTTCTTCATCTGTAAACTTGAGACCCCTCTGCCGGCTTCTCAGCGCTGTCGAAGCGATGAAAACTAAGACACGATCAAACGAGGTAACGAGGTCGTGACCTGAGCCCACTTTAGGGCCCAAGCACCCGGCTGCTGTGCAGCTGCCCACCGCGCACACCTGTCCTCCGCAGGGACCCCTGGGGTTCTGTCCACCTACTGGACACGGATATGTCCTGTACAGGAGCAACTCTTCCCAGTCCCAGCAAAATGCCCTGAATTCCGGATATGTTCACCCAGGCTGGCACCGTTCCTGTTCCAGACCCCGTTGGACAGCCCCTTTCTTCCCCAGCACCGTCCACGCCCTCCCCGTCCCGCTTCTGTCCCCGCTGCCCATGGACGATGGGACATCGGGAGGTGCGGACTCAAGAAACCGGGGTTTAGAAGCAAAGCCTCAACTGTCCGCCAAGCACCACGCCTGCCGCTGGGGCCCCGCCCTTTCACCCCGACTCGGCAGGCGGCGGTACCCTCCCTGAGGGCCGATGGAGCCGGCAGCGGCCACACATTTGGGGCGAGAGTCCATCACCCCGGAGGTTAGTTGGGCCCTGCCTCTCGCGCGAACCCTCCTCGCCGTCAGCCGGAGCGCACCGGGCGGCGCCCGCGGGGACGCGCCGGGGACACGCCGGCGGACGGGGCACGCGGGGTGCGGCCGCAGCCGCCTCGAGCTACCTGTGCCGGAAGAGGGGGCAGCCGCCCAGGAGCCTGCGCAGCTCATTCTTGAGGCTCCAGAAGTCGCCGTCCAGGTAGCGGTGCAGGGGCGTGTCCCCGAGCCCCAGGGCGGGCGCGGACTCCATGGCGCGGCCGGGTGTCTCACTTTTCTGTGGGAACCGCGGATCCGCTTCCCTCAGGGCTTCCTCCGAGCCGCCTGCCAGTGCCGCCCGTGAGCGCACGCCCGGCGCTCTTTATCCCCACCCCGCGGGCCGTCTCCTCCCCGCTCGCCTCTGCCCCCTCCCTCGCCGGCGCGAGGCCCTCCCCCCACCCGCTCCCAGTGCACCCTGAAAGACCTGCCCGAGGAGTGGGGGCAGTAACTCATCTCTGGCCCTTCTGAGAAACCTCAAATCTGCTGCTGTGCCCTGGGACTTCGGTTTCTGTTGCCCTTGCCCTCTAGTCAATTGTCCCTCCGGTGTGTGGAAGGTAGTATCTGCACCATTGAGGAGAGCTGGTAAGGCGGACATGGAATCCTGGCCGCTCCTAATTGAGACATTTTACTCAGTGGACCTCGGGTGCCAATGTCTTTGCCAGGGCCCCAAGACCCCAAATGACCTGATACCAAGTTAGGTACAGCTCAACTCAAATCTCTTCTTCCCCAAACGGGACATTACCGTACATTCCCATAAGCCTTAGTATTTCTGTAATCTGGAGGTGGCCAACGCCCACCTGCACTGGCAGTCCAGGGTAGCTGGGAGATGCAAACAGAACAATGTTCCCTCACTCCAGTTCCTGGCTGACGCTGACAGAGCATTCACCCCTGTGTGGCCACAGAGGCTTTTGAAGCTCCCAACTTGAAAGAATACATTCAACTTCCACTCTAACTCACGGGACTAGGAAGGGCAGTAGGAATGCTGTTACCACTTTTTTTATAAGCACTGCCCCCCCCCCCCAAGTGATTCTAATGTGATTCCATTAGCTTAGCTGGTCCTCAACTTTGCTGGGTCTACTATGTCACTGGGACATCTGGAAAATTTAAACAAGGTGGGTCACATAAATTATTGTATTGCCAGTTTCTTGATTTCTGTAATTGTACTGTGAATAGATGAATGTTTTTGTTTTTATGAAATGAAAATGGAAGCATTTAGGGGCAAGGGACAACTGAATCAAATGAGAAAAACAAATTGTACATATATGTATATATACATGTGCATATATATAGATAATGTATATAGGTAGTTATATAGATAATTCACATGTACACACATGAATATAAAAATATGTGTACTGTGTGGAATATGTGGGTATATACAGTGTATATATTATGTTATATATAATATAGTATGTTATATATATTATATATACATATATAATATGTAATATACTATATGTAATTAGTATCTATTATATGTAATACTATATGGAATATAGTATGTATTATATATTATATATACATATATAATACTACATATTATATATATAATATACACATGAGGGACAAAAAGAAATAAAATGTACTCCCTGGACTAGTTGACCAGGATTTTCTCAGTTACAAGTAATAAAGTTCTAGTAATAAAAATCAGTTTGAACTCTCTTCAGCAAAATGGAAATACATTGACTCACAAAATTTAAGGCAGGCTTGGACACGCACACTGGGAAGGTGTATGTTCAGAATCAGAAAAATGGGCCAGCTTCCCCAAGTCCATTAGCGCTCTGTCCTTATTCTGCCTCCACAGCAACCTGTTTCTCAGGACAGACCTAACTCTACCAGACAAAAATTCCAAAGGCCAACAGTTCTCAAATCTCATCTTCCTCAGCTTCAGCCACCAAAAGTTCCTTACTTCTCCCTAATTTTGACTTCTAGTGGTTGTGGAAAAGGACTTTGACTGGCTTTAATGTGGATCAAGTATCCACATCTGGCTTTAATGTGGATCAAGTACCCACATCTGGCTGATCAACTAGCAGGGGAGGGAAATTATATAAGGACATAACAACTACTTCCAAGGCCTAGTGGCCCTGGTAGGAAGGGGTCCCACTATACTACCCCATCCAGCTATCCCTGGCATTGTTTTTTGTTTTCGTTTTAATAATTAATGCTTGGTTTGTTTTTTTTTTTTAAGAATTATTGATTTAGCATAAAAAAACTAGGGTGTAGGGCAGAGGTTCAGAGAGGTGAGAGGATTCACCAGAGACAGAGTAGGGAGCAGAACAGGCAGATCCACTGAAATTCATTGTTGAGGGGAGCAGCAGGCGAGGCAGGAGAGGTCTGCAGTGCCATGTTGGTCACCCCCCTGACTAGGGATCAAACTTAGTGCCTAGTGGCTGCAGATAGCTTCATAGTGCTGCGAATTAACCTTGTGCCATCAGGGAGGCCTCCTGGTATTGTTTTTTAACAGACACCTCTTTAATTTTCTGGAATCTTTCCCTAGTACCTTTCCATAGAGAATTCAACCCTAATAGGCAGCTTAACAGAACCAAGCTGCTATCCTCTCCAGAACCCTCAGGTACTTCTAGGCTGCCCTACTTAGTGATACCCAGACATGTTCCCTTCAAGGTCATCAGTAAGAGATGGAAGGTCAAAGGACAGAAGGTAGATGTGCCAGGTCTTTTAGCCCAAGCTCAGAAAACCTTCCCCAACAAGATACCAAAAGGAAGACATAGAAAACAAAGCTGGGTTAAGAATCAGGGTCTGGGCCCTCCCTGATGGCTCAGCAGGTAAAAGCACGGCACTAAGGAGCTAAAACCACTTCAGCATGAGTTGGATCACTGCCCCAGAGATGGGGCAACATGGTGCAACATGGTGCAACAGACCTCTCCTGACCCGCCCACTGCTCCCCTCAGCAGTGTACTTCCTTGATCTTCCTGTTCTGCTCCCCACTCTGTCTCTGGTGAATCCTCTCATTGCCCCTGCCTGTACCCCAGTTCCGTATGCATAAATAAATAAATCTTAAAAAAAGAAAAAAAAAGAATCAGGGTTCTTGCAGGGGGACCTCAAAAAGCAAATGAAAGAAACCAATAGTCATAGGCCCCTCAGAATGTTGCGAGACGCACCATGGGCTATGGGGAGTCCTAGGATCTTTATACAAAAGTGAGGGTTGTAAACAGTTGTTCTTTCTGTGCTGCTCTCATCCCCTTAGCCCAGGTAAGACAGGTGACCCCTCAGGTGGAGCCATGGAAAGAATTCCCACATGCTGTGGCTTTTTGAATCTTGACATGGTGATATGCATCAGGCAGGTAAGTTTTGTTCTAGGTCCTTCTACAGGCAAATGACAAGCAATGCTAACCAACTTGCCCAAGGGCACATGATTTTTAATGGCAGAGAACCCAGGATCACAGGACTGTAAGTTCCCCCCAACCCCATACTGGTCTGGGGGCCTTGGTAGACTTTGCAGACAATGCTTCTCTGGAGGCCTGGGGCATAAACAAGACAGTCTGAGGCTCAGGGTTCTGTGGCAAGGAATAGACTGTTCTCAGAGGAGTTTGGTGTGTTTTGTGGAAATCATGGAACCTTAAATGTCAAGGCTGAGAGCACACTGGAGCTTGTCCAGTCAGTCACTTCCTTTCAGATAAAGACTCTGCAGACCATAGTGCCTACTAAAGTAGCCTAGTTCCACTCTAGGGTTTGAGGAGGAAAATGGGAAGGTTTGGAAAACAAATTTATAGCATCTTTCGTGCTTCCCAGTAATCCCCAGTTTGAATAGTCCGGTGAAGGTAACTGTTCAGATTTACCTCACCTGTCTGTGTGTCACTCATTAAGTCCCTCCTTTTATATTGCCAATGTTTCCAGGAATCCTGAGGGTTTTCTCCCATGTGATCTCCCACTGCCATCCCATTGGACACTGTCCGACTCCCATGAAACCATGGGGTGGAGCCAATAGGTGGTACGTGGACATAGAAGCCAAAAAACACCGCTATCCTTTACGTTGTTGTGAACAGGAATAGTTTGCAGTGGAAAAACTTTGGCTGTCTTTGTTTATTGTTCATCTTAGCTGAGGAGTTAGACAGGTCTCCAGGGATGGGAAGGGAAGAGTCCAGAAATAGCCATCACACTGTCCTCAAGCATGCCCCCTGGCTTCAAATACTACAGCTTCCTGACAGGATCACCAATGACACCTCTCCCTCCTTTACTCTCCAGGACAGTTTTCCTGCACATGCACTCCAGTCGGCACACGCCAGCCCCACCAGACACAGTGGCACAGGCTGAGACTGTTCACAGAGAGCAGTCGGGCATCACAGGCTCCAGTTGACTCTCATTCTTGGCAACAGTCAGGCTATGAACTTGTTGGTGATGTTCCCTGAGTCCCAGAACCAGTTTTGAGGCCAGCTCTGCTTCTTATATTCCTCCTCCAAGAAACAAACTCCTGGTGGAAAGCAGCTTCCCAATGTGAAGTCCATGGACTAATCTGAGTCACACTAGAGATTATCTCTGATATTGCTGTGTAGATAATACCCAGGTTGTGTCATTTACAAAGCAAGTAAAAAACTTGGTATAAAAGGTATAAAACTTACCTTCTGCAATAGGAGAAATGTGTGTATTGTATGTGTACCTTTATTTTTAAAAAGAAATAAGAATAACTCAAAAGCTAATAAAAATTGTTATCTATAGGAGAAAGGAGGGCATGAGGATAGCAGGTAAACCTCTGTGAGCAGATCTTGTTTTATAATTTTGACTTTGGAACTATGGAATGTTTTCATTCAATTAAAAAGTGAAATCTAAAAGAGAAAAAAGTCAATCCCTAAATATAAAACAAACAGAAACAAATATACTCAATTCTATTTCAAGTTGGTGACATAACCACAGAGAAAATTTACTTCAATAAACTTCAAAATTCAGCTGTTTGAGAGGCAAAAAAAAAAAAAACCCACAAAGCAATTCTTTATAATATTCAGTATCTTATTAGTAATAGTGTTATTTTGAAACCAATTTGTATATGCTGTAATACAAAATAAGTAACTAGCTAAGTGACATTAAAATTGAAATTATCAATAAAAAAAGTAACAGAGTTAAACAGGTTAAGGCCAAATCCTGAACTTAACTCCTTGACTATCTTAAATTTGAATTGGAAATAGTACATTGTGTGGTTTCACTTCTATTTTTGAACTTCCTATATAGAGGTGTCTTGTCCTATATAGAATGGAAGCCAGTCTGAATATAGAATGCATGAAGGGTGGGGTCCCTAATCCCAATTAGGGACAATGAGACATGAAGGCTGAGTAGAACTTAATCAAACAAAAAAATGTGAGAGTGTTTCCAGCCATTGCAATTGGCAGGACCACAGGCCAGGCAGGGAGTGGGCAGGGCCATCATGTACGGTTATTTGGGTTGTGTACTGTTCAAGGGTACCACATCTAGGATATACCACAGTGTTTGATAAGGAAGTGCACAAACAGATTATGCACCCTGGTGCTTCTATCACCTCCCTTCCCTCCACACACCAACCCAGATTGTCAAGCATGGCACTCACACTAGGCGAGAATACATTAACAAGCTCATCAGATACACAGGCTCTTGGCTTCAACCTCCACTGACTGGCTTGGGTTGTCCTGAAGTCACTTTTCTCTCCTGCTTGCCAAGAGTAGAGACCAATTACCACCTTGTTACACTCCATGGAGGCTGGGGCTTTCAGCTGTGCACATATGTCTTCATGGATGCAAATTCACACCTACCATATTTGCTTTGAAAAGATGTATAATCATTGATCTGAAATTGTTCTTAGACTTTTTCTTTCTGCTGCCTGGTAAAATATATTGATTTGAAAGAGGCTGGAATAAGTGTTGGTGAGTGAGAAAAAGAAACTTCCCCACTGTTGGTTGGAATGTAAAGTGGTGCAATCTCTGTGGAAAATAGTATGGAGGTTCCCTTAAATTTTTTTTTAAAAATTATCATTTGATCTGACAATACCACTTCTAGATATTACTCTGAATATAAAAGCACTAATATGAAAAGATTTATGTACTCCACATTCATAGCAGTATTATTCACAATATCTGCAAATCAACCTGATGCCCAATGATGGATGAATAGGGAAAAATGATTGTATGTATATAGAAATATGTGTGTATGTATATATATACTCAATGGAATACTCAGCTATTAAAAATGGTGAAAATATGCCCTTTGTGACAATATGGATGGAGCTTGAGGTGATTATACCAAGTGAAATAAATCAGAAAATGAAAGACAGCTACTGGATTTTACTCATTTAAGGAACATAGATAACCAAAGGAAACTGGAAAAACACAACAAAAACAACTCTTAGGCTCTGTGGAAAACATAGTAGTTACCAGACAGGTAGAAGTAAAGGGAGGGTAGAGGAAAGAGTAAGTGATAAGGTAATGGCACTCAATCTGTGGTGGTAGGTGAGTGTGGTATAAGCACATGTCAAGGTGTGAAGTGACCCCCAAATTATGTAGTTTTGTAAGTGAACGGTAAATGAATAAAAAAATGTAATTAAAAAATGAATATACTGATTTATATTTGTATTAGGGAAAGAATTTAGGAGAGATTAGTAGATACAGTTTGAACATTCTTTTGGTCTTTAATTCATATGTAATTTTAGTTTTTTATGTCTAGTTTCTTTACTTTCCAGGCAAAACCACTAGTTTTTTATGGATAAGATTTGAGTTAGACAAGGTTGGAACTAGGCATAAATCCAGTATCATCTACCACCTGATGGACTTTCAATGAACATTTCCTAATTGATGGCCCATACAACGCTAGGCACAAGTTGAAATTTTGAGTTGGTGCAACTAAAGATTTAGTGTTAATTCCTGTGATGGTTAATAGAACCTACCACTGTCTAAAGAGCTCTGTTTGTGCATCTTCTGTGTAATAATCCCTAAAAATTGGATACCTGGGTAGGTTCAAATGATCAGACCTCTAGAAGAAATTCTGGACTCTGAGAACAGCAGGAAGCTTTTTTTTTTTTTTAAGCTCCCAACTTGAGAGTCCCAAAAGCAAAAACAGTCAAATAGCCTCTATAAAAAGAAAGTCAATGATCACACGAATCTTTATATTTTACTTGTATCCTCAAGTGGCTCTTGAAACAAACTTGAGAGGTAGAATGGAAGTTATTAAAGACCAAGAGGCAGAGAATGCAAGGCTGACTCTTTACACAATCCTTGCATAGGAAGTATCAGTATATTACATATTTATTTCTTCTTAGGATATAGAAGCCTTTATAAAGATACCTATTTTTTAATTTCATGATTCCTGAGAACCTGGTCTCCAAAGATTCTAATCCTACAAATACTGAACGCTTTCTTGATGGCATTACAGAATTTAGCCAAACTCTTCTATTCTTATTTGAGTGAATGTAACAGAGCCTTCAGTCCTTCATTCGCACCAGGGCACCCACACAGCACTTCAAATTAGTTACATCTAGCCCAGAGGTCTCCAAGGTGCCAGTCCATCACTTTCATCTACCCTGTTCAATTTACAAAACCAACCAGGAAGTGCCCATCGACGTGCCCTCCCTTGGTAATCACTAAGTCATAACTCACTTAGGTTTTCCTCTGGGTGTTGAAGAATTACTCCGTAACTCTGCTGCAGAATTCTGGATCTGGGAAAATTCTAAGGGCTTCAACAACTGGGTTCTTTACTTACAGTGAGACCGCCTAACAGAAAACTGCAGGAACTAGGTGAGGTGACCTCTTCAGCAGGAAAGGTTTCACACCCACCCACCCCACCCCACCCCCCGGCAGCCCTCGGCCAGAGGCCGGTTATTCCCGCTAAACTCTGCAGCCTTAAACAATGACAGTCTGCCCCTACACGTGGGGCTCTTTCCAGAAGGACTTTGGCTCATGTAGTTAAGCAAAGTGATCTAAAAGGAGCGACTCTCAGGACCCAAGAGCCCAGGCACAGATTTTTTTCCCCTCGGGGACCTCAAGTTGGATATAATTCTCCTATAGTGCCTTCACGGGATGACGCCCTAATCACGTGCTATTGTAAACCCCGATTGCCTATTGCTGAGCCTACCCAGCCCGGCACAGCGCGATCCCCGGAAACCCTTTCCTCCCAAGCTGCGGCGGTGTCTAGGGGTCGAGTCTACGGAAGGAGGAGGAGCTACCTCCCTACGCAAAGTGGGAGGGACTTGGTCTCGTGGCAACGGCCTCGACGATTGGCCGCTAGTCTGCAGCCGCGGCCAATGACCAGCTGCCTTGCAAACGCTCGTCGCGCGTCTGCGGCTGCGCGGGAGATTTGAATCGGCGACTGCTCCTTGCTTGCGGAGCGAGGGGATCTGCAGCCGGCAGGTGTCCCGGTCATGGATACACCGGAAAATGTCTTTCAGTAAGTGTCGGCCTGGTGGGTTTTGGGGACGGGGGTCTTGATCCCAGCTGCAGGCCGCCTCGATGTCTGGGTGCTCGGGTTCCGGCCTGGCGGCCTGCTGGTCCCAGGCCCGGCCCGCCCCGGCCCTGCCTCCTTTCCTCTTCCGCCCCTTTCCCCGGCTTTGGCGTTTGTCCTCACCCCACCCACCCCAAATGGGCCGGGGGCCACTGGCTGGAAAGTGGGAAGAACTTCGAATCGTTCGCGTGTTGGGTGCTCTCCGCTGAGCCCCGAGCGGTGACATCGGTGTCAGTTGGGGGATTGGGGCGAATTGTGAAGTCCTCCGAGCTCTTGTTTATTTGTGATCAGCCCATTCTGGGCACATCGCTGTGGAAGACAAGCCCAACGCAACACTAAACCTAGACCTAGTGTTTTCGTGGAATCTAGGTTTCATAGCACACTTTCATAGAAAAAAAAGAAACGAAAGGTACTTCCAAGTCACTTACTTAAAAATCCTGCTACAGTAGGGAGAAAGCTTAAAATTGCTCTCGTATCCATAATCCCATCGTTTTAAGCCTTCGATTAATAGGCACTTTAAAAGGGGGTGGGGGGAATGGTTATTGTCATTTATGCCAAACTGCTAACAATGTTTGAACTTTCCACTCCTTTGCTTTATACCTCAGTTGATTTATCCAGGCTGTCGCAAAAGCTCTTAAAACAGTTCACTCCTTTATGATAGGAAATAAAACTGATTAGCTTGATTAAATCCTACTCTATGATGGGGTCAGAGAGATATCATTAGGAATAGTGAAAGCAAGAATCTGTTTGCTTTACTTCTTCAATTTCACTCTAAAAGGATTTCACTGTTAGAAGCTTGCTGTCACTCATTTTTAAAGGGAAATTCAGTATTTCTGACCTTATTTGATTTTCTAAAAGACTACTTTGTTCTGGTGATCACGATGTTTTAGTTATTAACTTCATTGTGTATTTGGGTCACTTTCTTGGGAAATGTGGCTAATAATTGAACATGAAGTGGTTACCTTCACCATCCTCCAATTAAATGTATTTTGGGAGAAAAGTTCTGACATTGTAGGGATTGTTGTGCCATCAGGTGTGAGAAGACTCAAAATTTAGTCTTTAAAACTTTTTAAAAACAGTAATATATCTAAATGATTTGAAAAAAGATTTAGAAACACAGAGAGCTACACTTTTCTATTCTTCCATTCCCTCATGTAAGTTTTCCTAATTTTTCATGTATTTCTTTTGTATATGTATTACAATAATATATTAATATCTATGTATTTATGTGTGTTATATAATAATACATACATAATATGTATGTATACCTGTGTGCTTTTGTATACCTTCTGTTCTTGCCTTTATCTCACATACATTCTACCAACAGATAACTTTTTATTTTTGCCTACACTACTCTTGGAGTTCTATCCATATATATGCCCTTTCTTATTCTTTTTGACAGCTATGTAACTTTTCATGTACTATAATTTATCTAAAAAGTCGTTTACTGATGAATACTTGGGTTAATAATCTTTTGCTATTCCGAATAGTGCTGCCATGAAAATTTTTCTATAGATGGCATTTTGCACATATACTGATTTGTCTTCTAGTTTCCCAAAAGTGATTTCTTAGTTCAAAACTAAATCCATGCTAAATTTTGGTAGTTAGTATCAGTGCTTTTAGCAGGGGATATACTACGTGATAGTACCTATTTCTACATTCTTCACTTATTCTGCACCCTTGCTGCATTTTTGCCAATCAAGTGGATAATAAATTGTATCTCTGTCACATCAGTTTCTCTTATGAGAGAGGTTGAGTATTTTTCTGTGAAATCTTTTTGTTCATTTTCAAAATTGGGTTTCCCACGCGCGCACACACACACACACACACACTTTTTAAAAGTTCTGTTTTGCTATCTAGTTTATTATTTCTCTTTTAACAACTTTATTTTATTTGACACTTAGCAGCTTTTTATTTATATGTAGTTTACCTAGCTTTTCTCTTAGGTTCCTGGATTTTGAGTCATTTCATTTGTACAGTGAAATGATGTTTAAGAGAAAGTATTATGTTTAATCCATTTTTAAAAAACAAATCATGTGAGTTCACTGCTGGAAAAATCCATAAGTCTTCTTAGCTTGACTCTCTCACACCTGTTTAACAGTCCATCAGCAAGTTCCATTTTCATTCTCCAAAACAGTACAAATTCCATCCTTGTATCATTCCCATACTAACCCAACTCAGCACCTTGTCACTGGACTCTACTGTAGCTTCTTAAGTAGTTTTCCTCTCTAGTCTTATTCCCCACTCCTTCTTCACTTGAAAGAATAAAATGCAAATTTTAAAGTGTAAACTAGATCTTGTACCCCCTTAGAGAGGCAGGCCTTCCCTGACCATTTGGTCTATCTGCGGCAGTCTGACGCTGTTCATATTTTTGTTTGTTTTCCTAAGTGCTGAGTAACATCATTTTACATGCTGCTTTTTGTTTGTTTACTTCCACTAACACCAGAGTTCCCATGGGGAGCTTTGCTTTACCTGGTTAATTTTTTTTTTTTTTTTAAAGCTATGGTTGGGTATGCAGAAGTAGAAGTAGAAGCAAACAATTCTTTGGAGCTCTAATCCCTGATTTATGAGCATTACCATCATGAGTCCTTCCTGACAAGCTGTTGTTCGAACCATTGAGATCCTGAAGCAAATTCCTATTGGTGGTATCCTGGGTTATCTCATACCCATCCACAGGGTCAGGATCCTTCAGATCTTTTAGCTCAACTTCAGCCAAACCACCTGAGGAGCAATGGGAGATCTGAGGCAGTGTCATAGAGCAGTCTACTTGTAATCGCTGGCCCTCTTGATCATGATTCCTCCCTCACCTTCTGTGTTGCCCTTTAGAAAACAAAAGCCTCAAATCAAGTTGCTGTAATCAGGTAGTTCCCTCTTGCCTCCAGTCTGCTGCTATGAATAATTAGCTGATCGTGGCTGTTTGACCTTGAAGCAGCCAGATGTGCTGAAAGAAGTACAAGGCAGGAAGTAACACTAGTGATTTGGGGGATAAAGTTGGGGCCCTCTTCCCCAGCTACCTCTTTCCAGAAGTTCAAGGACCTTGAATCTTACTTTTTCCCAGAAAAATGTGAACTGCTTCTGAATTTTCTAATTACTTTTGAGTCAATTTTCTTTTAATGTTTACATAATTGATCTTTAAGCTTTCCATTTTAAGATGTAAATGAAATATTGTATAAAATATATCTTTTGCTTTTAGGAATTAGCCTTAATATTGCATGTGCTTATTTTTCTCTGTTCTAGAATGTTTGAAGCCCATATGCAGAGCTATAAGGGTGATGATCCACTTGGTGAATGGGAAAAGTAAGTAAGCATTTAACTTACCTTTTTTCCTTTAAACAAATTATATACAGCCCTAAAAATTAATATCATCCATATTTTTCTAGTTACGTGCAGTGGGTAGAAGAGAATTTTCCTGAGAATAAAGATTATTTGACAACTTTATTAGAACATTTGATGAAAGAATTTTTAGATAAGAAGAGATACCACAATGACCCAAGATTTATCAATTATTGCTTAAAATTTGTAAGTATGTCATACTTTCAGATGTATATACTTTCAAATATATAATCAAATTTGTAATTGAGTTATGCTGTTGCTTTTAAAAATTATTTTAGAATACCTTTTATTTTAATTCCTATATTTCCAGTCATAAATTTTAAAAAGCTTTATGATCAGAGATGTATATTTTCGAAACTTTTGACTTTTGTGTTATAGATTCATTGATTTAATTTTAAAACCGACAAGTCTCTGTGTTTCAAATCTGTATATAAAAGTTACAAAGTGAGGGAGAAACATTAAGTTGAAAGCTTAGTTGGATGAGGAATGTATGAGCAGAAGGGTGACAAGTAAGCAGTCCCAGAACCTGAGAGGGTTCTTGGGAGCAAGTTAAATTCATCATGAACAATTAAAAAACACTAACTTTCAGAAATTAAAATTTAGTACTGAAAGGAAGTTTGGTTCAGATGAGTCTTCAAAAGGTTGCAACTTCTCAATCTTGAAAAATGGGTTAAAGGCAGAAGTCCTGTTAAAATCAGGAGTGGAGTAGCTGGGGTAGGCATGGATTTGTTCACTAAGTTATAGAATATTAGGCTACAATGGCATCGTGCAGAACTTGAGTAGGCCCGTTAAGCCTAAACCCAGTGTACATAATGGGTTATTGTACAACCCACTATCTTGGGAAATAGTATGGCAAATTTGGGGGATAAGGAATATCAAGGAATGGACTCAGCTTAATTCTTAGACTTGTAATCAGAGAACCAGAAGGGCATCCCCTGCACAGTACATCCTAAAGCCTCACGAAGACAGTTCCTTGCTGACCGCCGCGCACGGGCATTCTTGGCAGATTTCCTCTGTTCTTAGTGTTGGCTTTGGGTTTCTGCAGGCTGAGTGCAACAGTGACCTTCTGCAGTTTTTTGAGTTTCTGTACAACCATGGTGTCGGAACCCTGTCATCTCCTCTGTATGTAGCCTGGGCTGGGCATCTGGAAGCCCAGGGAGAACTGCAGCATGCCAGCGCTGTCTTCCGGAGAGGAATTCACAACCAGGCTGAACCTAGAGAGCTGCTGCAGCAGCAGTACAGGTAGTTTGAAAGGCAGACTGTGTGTCACACACTTTGAAATGTGACATTTACGCTTAAAAACATTGTACTGTTATCTTTATGGGGGAATTCTCATTGTTGAAAATGTGGGTATTACCGATGGTAGTCCTGCCCAGGAAAATTACTGTTAATATTTTTTCTTTAAAAAAACACTTATTTTTTAAAGGTTTATTTATTTATGCATAGAGAACTGGCGTACAGGCCAGAGGTGCAGGGGCGGTAAGAGGATTCACCAGAGACAGTGGGGAGCAGAACAGGCAGAAGCAGACTGACGAAGTACACTGCTGAGGGGAGCAGCAGGCGGGTCAGGTGCGCCATGTAGGTCACCTCCAGCGGGGCACCCAACTCATGCTGAAGTGGCTGTAGCTTCTCAGTGCTGTGCTTTAACCTGCTGCACCACCAGGGAGGGCCCTACTGTTAATATTTTGCTGCATTTCCTTTCAATACCTTTTGGCCTCAATTTGTGTATTTTAACAGTAAATCATACTGTATATCTTGTTATACATGCTGAGCTTTATACTACTTTAAAGTAAGTTTGAAATTTTTTGCTACTTTTAATGTGTTGATGAAATATGTCCCAGATTTTAGGTCATAATTTAAAGTTGTTCAATTGAACAAAAAGTTGTTCCCAACTTTTTTGACTTTTGTCAAGAACAACGTGATGACTATCATAATGAACAGCCTTGTTCTTTATAATTTATACTTATTCTGTGATGAAATACACCTCATTTAGAGGATTTTCAGTATGTAGAAAACTAAGAAAAAAACAAACAGGAAAACTTCCAACATTTTTGTTGCCTTTCTTTCCTTTGCTTGTTATGAGATTATAAACATCCTTGACATGCAAATGCTGCTTGTGTCAAGGTCTATTCCCTTTCTAATAAATATTATCGCCTAATATATTTTCCTATCTAGTACTTTCTGATAGAGTCTCAGAATGAAATTGTTGCGTTAGTGTGTATATGAGGAGTTTTAAGGTTTGTGGTCTTCTAACCCAGTTACCAGGCACAAAAGGATCTGCCCTGTTTTGCTGTCCCCTGCTCCAGCAGTGCCTGAGAGCACTTACCTCAGGTGCCCCGCGCCAGCATTTAGTATTCTCATCGTTTCCAGCCTTGCTGCATCGTTTCCAACTGTGATTTCTAACCTTTATTAGAATTTTCAAATATACATTAAAAAAAAACAAAAGTTAGTGTCATGAAGCTCTATTTACTTTTAATAAATATTAACATTTAAACATGTATTTTTTCCTATACTGAACAATTTAAAGCAGGACATCAAAACATTTTACTCTCAAACTGAAACATCCCTAAAAGTGATTTCTTCTCAAAATCTTGCATTGTTTTCACAGCCAACAAAATTTACTATAATACTTCAAAATCACTAAATTTTTAGTCAGTTAATTAAAGTCTTTGTTGTTGTTTTGTCCTTGCTTTGTTTGAACGGAGAGTCGCAGGATCCTGAGTTTGGCTGTATGCACTCTTGCCCGCATTACCCAAAAAGTCAGACTTGGCTGTTGCATGTTACTTGACGGGTTGGGTTGGTTGCTTGGTGCTATGAGAGCTGTAGTTAGCTCTCACCATGAACACTAACATGTCGGCCTCTTGCTATAGTCATGTGGCTTTCCTACTTTCACTTTTCTTCCTACCATTATAGTCATTATTCAGGGTGCCTAAAATAGGGAGGTCAAACACCCATGTTGTAACATTTGCAGACTTGATACCTACATAGAAGAATTTGATTTTGAGGGCTACTGACAAACTAAGCAAAAGGAGAAATTTTTCTAATAATAAATTTTCTAAGTTTAATGGTATGAAGATAGTCCCAGATTTTTTAAAGTTTTGAAATAACTCAAAGATTCAACTTAATATTCTCTCTTGCAATCAGTCTTCACTAATTTATGATAAGCTACCTATCATAGTTAGCTTTAACTTTAATACAGATGTGTATTTAACTGTAAGTTTGTCATCGGTATTGATGCTTTTTCCTACTGTCATTTAGGTTATTTCAGGCACGCCTCACTGAAACCCATTTGCCAGTTCAAGGTAAAATTATGGTTTATAAAATCTCAAAACAGTTAATAATTCCTTTTCTCTCCCCTTACAAAAAACCAAAGTCATCCAGTATTGATTAATTGCATTCTGGGGTAATAAAGAAGTCACCCCGAGTGTAATAAAAATGCCCGCTAAGTAGCCCTGAAGATCAGGGTCTGTCACAGCACCTTCAAAGAGCAGACGTTTAAGAAAAACTTTGATTTCATTGTATATTGAGAATTTTAAAAAATAAATCAAAATTGCCCAATATAGAAGGTAATATTTACCTCAGTCTATCTGGTCTGAATTGAATCAAAAGTATTTAATGAAATTTGTAAAGAATTGTTTTTGTTCTTAGAAATAAAGACTTCATCAATAATTTTTCTCTGTCGTGTTGATTAAAATAAGATTTTACATTTCTTTCAGTCCGTGGGTGCTTTGCATTGGTCAGGAAACTGTCTTAATCATAATTATCTTGTCTAGAAAGTGTTTCCTGCGCCAGTGTGGCTCAGTTGATTTATTTCTTATGCTACTTATTGAAAGATCAGGAGCTGGAGTTGTAATAATTTGATCTAGTGTGATTTTATCGTTACTTCCTTTTTGTCATTCTCTTCCCCAACCTGTAATCTCCCTCCCATAGCTAGAACCTCAGAACCTCTGCATGATGCTCAGACTGTAAACCAAATGATGGCATCAAAATCAAACCCAGGAAACAATTCAGCCTGTGTTCCTAAGACCCAGGTAATAATCACATCTCTAGGCTATGTGGAAACTAGGAATGGTATTGAAACTTATCCAGCTGCTTTTTTTTTTTTTTTTAAGATTTATTTATTTATGCATATAGAACTGGGGTACAGGCCAGAGGTGTGGGGTGGTGAGAGGCTTCACCCGACACAGTGGGGAGCAGAACAGGCAGATCAAGGAAACACACTGCTGAGGGGAACAGCGGGCGGGTCAGGAGAGGTCTGCCACGCCATGTGGTCACCTCCGGGGCAGGCGGGGATCGAACTCATGCGGAAGTGGCTTTAGCTTCTTAGTGCTGCGCTTTAACCCGCTGTGCCACCAGGGAGGGCCCCAGCTGCTTTTTATGTTCCACTTTGGCTTCTCATTTCGTTGACTTTATCTTCCCTGGCTCACCTCAGTGTCAGCCGCTTGGGCCTATGACTGCCTTTTGGGCCAGTTGTGATTTCCCACTGCTCAAATTTTTTTTTGTTCTCTCTGAAAGGATTGTAGCATGCATATGGGTGTTGAGGGAGCTCAGTCTTTTTTGGCAGCTGCCTTCCAAATGGCAGCCAGAACCTTGCTCAATTTCTCTCTTCCTCTTGGCACGGATGTATCTCCCCACCCTTTTCTTGAAGAACTTGAGGGCCTACTTGTCCTTGGAGACCTTGAGCAACTCTATGGCAGGCCACTCTTAGGGGCCACACCTCCCAGATCATGTCCCGGGCACGCTTGGAGTACAGTGCTGCTCTGACAGTCTCGGCTTGGTCACTTTGGGCCCTTGTTGAGGCCACAAACGCAGTCGTGGCTGCTTCTTTGTTATAATGGCTGCTATGATGGTGAAACGCTCAATTATTAAATTTAAATTCCTTTTTCTGACCATAACTTCTTCTGCTTATCTCACCTGGACCCCTACTATATAATCTCCTGACTTCACTTGTTCTTCCAACACCTTTTCTTTTCCCTTGTTCCACTGGCCTCTGTCACATAGATCCAGGAATCCCTGTCTTGCCTCGCATCCACCTGAAGTCACCTCAGCTCTGCTTGAAATACTCAGAGCTTCAAATGAATGAAATGAAGCAGATGAATGCTAGTAGCCATAACCCCAGGGAAGACATTACAATTCCCAGACAATCTGTTTCCATTTTCCCAGTTTACTCTTTATGTTTCCCAGTTTATCTCTTGTGTTTCCCATAATGATTTCAAACCTCACTTTTCTCAAACTCGGGACTAGCTCCCTCTAACATCTCCCTCAGAAGTGGGTGAAAATGTTATTTCAGTGCGACCACAAAATTCTGCAGAAGACACGAGTAATTTTCTACCACCAACCAGTACATGGAGTTGCATCCTTCCCTGCCTTGGCCGTGCTCTCATCCTCCTGGGGATTTTGCCCTGCTGAGTTCTCTTCTTCCCTGATGCCCAAGTCTCTGGCCCTCCGCCTTGTTTCCTTGCATTTTTCCTCTTCATAGCACAGTTGCTCTTTCAGAGTATGCTAAAGGCCTCCTTTAAGCTAATTCCAAGAAAATGCCTTTTTTCTTGGTACACATGTCCAGGTTTTATAAATGTAACACTTCCATTTCTGGAAGTAAAATAAGCATTTACATCCTATACCTGCTTGCCAGCCTCATTGCTGTATCTTACCCCCACTGTCTAGCAAGATGGTCTTATTTGCAGTCACATTTCCAGATCCTTGGTCACCTGTGGTATTCAAAAAATATTTGTGTAGTGAATGAAAGCTAACACAGGAAATTCCTGAGAGTGGAACAGTACTAGAAGTAACTTTTAATGATACATTTTTTAATATAGCCATTTGGAATGTTAATCCCAGACTCACTATAGCCTGATATCTAGACCACAAATAGAAGGGAAATAAGGACCCTTTTTTTCTCTTTTCTACCTAGATTTTTTTTTAAGAGCTTGAAAACATATTTTTTAATATGTATAGATTTACTTTTTTTGTATTTCAGAGTTGATTTTTTTTAAATAATATAATACATTATTTTTACATCATTTTGTGCCTTTTCCCATCTCAGTTGTAATCCCCATGGGCCAATTAGATATTTTTTTAAATCACCTTATTAGATTCTTTAGTTGCAAAAGTTGTCATCAGATGGAGTATGAACTAAAGCTTTAGATGTTAATTGTAGCTTAAGAGGACATAGATAGATTTACCTGATACTAAGAGGGTCCTTAAGTATTTTCATATTGCTTTGTGAAGTAACTTAAGTGATGGTTTCATTTCCAATAAGTGAATGTGTGTACTTTTCTGCCCTTTCAGGGTTCAGAACTTCCTGGAATGCGTTCTTCAACTTGCCCTAAAGAGTCTAATATGTAAGTACAATAAATGTATTCACCTCTTAATTACTTTCTTTCGAGAGCTGCCTTGGTCACTGTTGTAAATAATGCATTTTCCCCCATATAGGGAACAAAGGGTGATCATGATTTCTAAATCAGGATATTCTGCACACCCATCTTTGACAGCCAAAGATGATGTTCAGCAGGTTGTTATGTACTGCAAGGAGAAGCTTATTCGTGGAGAATCAGAATTTTCCTTTGAAGAACTGAGGGCCCAGAAATACAATCAACGGAAAAAGCACGAGCAGTGGGGTAATTGCTCACCTATCACATGAGATGGTCTGATGTCACTTAACATCAGTCACTTAACTCTTGGCTCTGAGAAGTTATATTTTTTTAACAGATAATTGGCTATGCTGGGAAAAAACTGCAAAACATCTCCAGCTCATCCTATCTGCATGGATTTATATATCTGCATCTAACAACTTTAAATCTCTGTGTCAGTTACTTGTATTGTGAAAGAATTAAGTTAGGGACTTAATTGAGAGAGTTCAGAAGCTGATTATTTAAGGTCTGCAACTACTACAAATAAGAGCTTCAGAAGCAGTCCTCTGATCAAAGTGCCATGTTATTTAGGGCTAAATAGTGGATTAAGTTTTGTGCCTCACAGGAAAAGCTGAATTTTAATACCCATGTTTGCATTTGCCTTGCTGTAACAGCATGGACCGTAGAGAGAGGAAAATAAATATTTGGTCCTCTTGGGGCTTTTAGATAGATCATCTAAGTTATTTGAAATGTAGTCATTTATGGCCTTTGTTTTTTGTCCATTACTTCTCATTTAGCTAGTAACTGAGAAAATTGTCTTCTAATATTTATGAAGAATCCATCTTGTGCATGCACATGAGAATTTTCAGATGATTTGATTTGTATGGGATAGGGTTATGTCAGCCATAACCACAAGTGGAACTAACTGACATTTCAAGTGTATTTTACTCTTGTTTCTTTCTACAGCACATAGACCTAATTTATATCTTTTTAAAATGTTTATATCTAAATGAATACAGTCATGATTGTTGTACAAGAAAAGCTTTGTTTCTTACTGTGCTATTGCTAACATATTGTTAATCAACATGTACAATTTTTTGACTTACGCATCCTGAACAGGAAAGTAGCCGTACTTGAATAGTTTAAAGGTAATACACACTTCAGGTCTAATAAAGAACCTTTCACTCATTTTGTGGATATTCTTCTGATAACCCAAGTTTAAACTATTTTTGAAAATCATTTTTTTTATCTTCCCTAAAGTAAATGAAGACAAACATTATATGAAAAGGAAAGAAGCAAATGCTTTTGAAGAACAGCTACTAAAACAGAAAATGGATGAACTTCATAAGAAGTTGCATCAAGCAGCAGAACCATCCCGTGCAAACCTGTCTGCTTCCCAGGAAAGGGCTGAGGTGTGTCTGTGCCCATGTGAAGGCTTCCCATGTCCAGTAACACTGACTTCTATTTTTATTTGTTCCTTTCTGTACCCTATGTTTAGAGTTAATTTTGCCATTAATTTAGCTACTGGCTTTCTGAATTTTAAAAATAGTTTCACACAAAATATGTTAAACATATGAAATCAGAAATGGAAGTTACGGAACAGAATGCAGTGTATTGTACATCTGTGTTTATATACACACATTTATGTATTAGTTATACAAAATCTTTTTTGGTTTTGGGGGGATGTTGTGGGGGTACTTTGGCACAATAACTACTATATACAATAAGAATTTGAGGCCCTCCCTGGTGGTGCAGCGGGTTAAAACAGCACTGAGAAGCTAAAGCCACTTCCGCATGAGTTCAATCCCTCCCCGCCGGGGAGGTGACCACATGGCGTGGCAGACCTCTCCTGACCCGCCCGCTGCTCCCCTCAGCAGTGTACTTCGTCCATCTGCCTGTTCTGCTCCCCACTCTGTCTCTGGTGAAGCCTCTCACCGCCCCTCAGCCTCTAGCCTATACCCCAGTTCTGTATGCACAGATAAATACATCTCTAAAAAAAAAAAAGAATTTGAGCATCATAATTTCATTCATCATTTAGATGTATTTTCTCTTTGCCATTGTTTCATGATAGAAGAGAGCCACGTGTATTTTCTTGAAATTGCTAGTGGATGAAAAATATTAATGGATGGGATAGATTTGGAATAAACTAATTTAACCTTTACAGTAGTTGCATAAACTTTTACATAGTCTCTGTCCATCTGATATAATGAAGATGAAATACTTATTTTTTTCACATTTTTTGAAAATTATAAAGTAGGTGACTGTCTGATTTTAAAAATCATGTGAAAGATATGTTTATATGCATGTATTTGTGTGTAGATATATGTGTGTTTGTTTGTTTATGCAAATGAATGTTTGCCTTCACTGCTAGTTACTATCGTTTCCATTTTCCCACACCTTTAATATATATGAACACACATAAATGTCAATGCAGTTGAAATTTCTGCATAAGACTTACTTGCTTCTTTTTTCTATTTAACCGGTCTTGCGTCTTTGTCACTGTCAGCTCCAAGTGCTCTAGTTCACTTTATCTGCAGCACTGCCTCTGTCATTCCTTACAGGAGGCAGGTGTCACACGGAAACTCTTATAAAAGCCACGCTGCAGTGAGCAACTTGTACACGTGAGATTATTTCTCTCAAAAAGTACAATTGCTGCCTTGAGGCCTGTACACTGAAAATACTATCAGTCTGCTCTCCAAAAATTTGTCATTTTATACTCACATTAATAGTGAATACAAGTTCTATTTGTTTATACATGTGGTTAACAGCTATCCTGGGTCTTTTCAGTTATGTGATGTCTTTTAATTAGATAAATTTGGATTTTTAAAAATGTGTTTAGTGGCTACCTGTTTTTCTTTAACTTGATGTACCTTGTTCATTTTTCTATTTAATTGTTTCATTTTTTCTTATTATTTAGATTTCCATTCTTCTGTATACTAATGTTTCTCCCTGGATAATTCCAAGAAATTTTTTAAATAATTGTCCTGTTGTTTTCTTTTGCTGTATTTTCTTGATGTCTAGCAATTTATCTCCTGGAGAAACTAATAACTCAAAAATATATAATTACAGTTTGAGTATATGTGAGTAGAAAAACAAAGATCTCAGTTCAGAGCTTATTATGCTTCCAGTTGTGAGCCTCACATTCTTGACAGCTCTTATAACAGTTGATTCTCACTCTGCCTTTCTGTTAAAGGAAAGATGGCTACCAAAGGTATTTTAATGAAAGTGATCCTGTTATGGGCATTTGATAACATTGATTTGTTGGCCTTGACCCAAAATTAAGTAAAGAGAAACACAGTGGTTCTTGAATACTGGTAAGAGTGAAGGGCCTGCTTGTTCAGTGGTTAGAAGTATCAGCTGCCAGTTCAGTCTGTGGTTAAGAAGCTAGAAAAGCGTCCCTCATGTAGAGTGTTTTGTTTGTTTGTTTGTTTGTTTGTTTGTTTTAATTGTTGGCCACTCATTGCAGAATACCCAAAGAGGTAAGAAGATGGTGCCTTAAAGGGAAAGGAATTTCCTGAACACAGATGCCATTATTTGAAAAGCTATAATACCTCTTTAGTACTGTTCTGGACTTAATAACCTTATTTTTGTCTGTTTGTTTCACATGAAAGGTTAATCCAGCAGTTATAAGGCCAAGTGCAGGCTCTCAGCAGGAACTGAGAACTCCATCTCTGACAGCCATCGATCTGCAGACCTCAAAGACTATGGGAGAAAGACCAAGAGAGACAACTCCTGTCATTCCTCTCATGGCACACAGTGCCCCTGTTGCATTGGTGCCCCCAGCCGCGAGCCAGAGTATAGCTCCCCCTGTTCCTTTGACAGCTCAGGCAGGTGCAGATTCTATACTTGCAGTTGCCACAAAAGATGCCAGGTAAGCTAATGGTAGCTAATGGGTCTAGTAATGTGAATGGCATTTACCAGCTTCTTTCCATGAGCTGCAAAATCAAGAACTATATGTGAAAACAACCATTCCTGTTTTTAAAAATGATTTTTAGATGGGCCTATCAGAACAGTAGCCTCAAATCTTTCAGACTTATTTATTCCATGCTTCTTTTATTTTACTTCATACTTGTCTCTTGAATTTAATGCCCTGAAACAATTTTTTGCAGCTAAATTATATACAGCTGTTAAATGTAAATTGTCTGTTACTGACCATGACTGAATACTCTCGGTGGTCATTACTATGGAGCAGGGCCCTGAAGAGTGTTCTTCTTGTCTTTCTTCTATTTTCTCCCAGGAACATAACCATTTTATTGACTCATTAGAAAGAGTAAAAGCCACGGTGTAACTTGTATCCTTCCCTTGGACTAAACCCTTAACACAGATGATAGTTATTAAGTACTATGTCTCCATGTCCAAGGTTACTTTCTCAATGATTTCTAACAGAAATAAGATCTTAAATCACCATTTTTTTTTCACTCATATTAGGAATAATGCAGACCACTGTCATGTATCAAACCTTATATATAAGAAGAGGATTGTCCTGTAGGGGCTATCACTCTTTTAGTTCTTAATTTCACAACTATAAAGTGATTAAAATGGCAGTAGTGATAGTCACCATGGAAATGAGGGATGCCTAGCAGAGATGGAGTCACGAGACTCTGGGAGCCAGACATAGATGCCCCTTGGAAACTGAACCTCTTTAACCTAAACGACATGTAGTCCTCAGAAGCACCTCAGACTGACCCTGAGCCTGGCCCAAGCAAAGGAGTGGATGGGCCTTCCCAGTGCTCTCAGCAGCCTGTGCCGCTGACCATAGCAAAGAGAGGGCACCTTTCTCTGGAGTCCATATAAAAACTCGTGTTTTTATGTCCATGTAGTAGGAATTTTTTTACTTAAAAGTTCTTTGCACTTTCAACTTTACATCTTAACAGAGTCCATGAAGGGCATTATGGCAAAGTTAAATCCACAAGTGAGGTCCCCTAGCACAACTGTCCTGCACACTGGCTGTGACAAGTAAATGCCTTACGGACCTTCTTCCTTGATTAATGGCTACAGTCTAAAGAATCAAGCACTGAGGATACTGGCGCCTCAGAAAGTGCCCTTGTGACTCAAGCACACCGTGCTTTTCCCATCACAACTCAACCACATTGGGCTGTGCCAGGCTTTAGCCTGTGTAGTAAACCGGACCATTTGCGCCAGGGAAGCCCTTATCCCATCCTGCTGTATGTAGGAAGACTCAAGGGTATTAAATTGTGGAATCACTGTCATGCAAACACTAGTAACTGGCCTTTGTAAGAATTCTTTTCCTCAAAGGAAAGAAAAACCAAAACACTTTATTCACTTATGTTAGAGACCTAATCAATTTCATCTGTATTTTACCAACAGGCTTATAATTGCTGATGTCTCTGTACTGTTCTTAGTGCTGTGCTTTAACCCGCTGCGCCACCAGGGAGGGCCCTTTGTACTGTTCTTAAGTGTTAATGTGTCTCAAGAGTTTTCTCTTCTAGATGTGTGATTGCAAGTACTCATGAATTCAAGCCACAGAGTGAAGCTAAGATAAAAGAAGGTAATGTTTAATCAAATTAACTTGTCTCTGGCATGCTTGGCCAGATTCCTCTAGCTTACTCAGAGGTCTTTTTGGTGACTGTGGTTTTAGGTAGACTTCAGACCTTAATGAACCTGAGTGTTAACTTCCTATTCTTAGAATGTAGTGCCAAATCATTTCAAATGAAGGTAGAAATCGCCTTGATAGTCATACCTGACTAGTTAGAATCCTTTGGGAACTTAATTTTTGCAAACTTTTCTATAAAATTTCTCAAGATTACTCTCAAGCAAGAGTCATCTTTAATGAGCTGTGAGTTAGAAAAGGTGACAGAAGTTAATTAAGGGTGTTCTACTTTTATTTGGCAGTACTTCACTAGAGGTATTTACATGAGAGGTGAGCTTTATATATAAAATAAATAATAATAAAATAAGACGTGAGTTGGACATTTACTTTCCATCCCTTCCATGCGGCTGTCACATCCTTTCCAGTGGAAGGTTGTGGGAAGCAGAGCTACTTGAAACAGCTGGTGGTACCTACTTTTTATCCAAGACTTAGTGATCCCTTACTGTTCTAGGTAGGTAAGGGTGCTATCATGAACACAAGGACAAAGTCCTCACCCTTTGGAAGGAAAAGAAGTGTTTTCCTTGGGGATGAGACTGAGTTTCAGAAGTAAAAGCCCACAGAGAGCTACCTGGACACAGAAGAAACATCAAGGGAATATCTTTGTCAGTCTCTGAGCACAGCCAAGAGGTCAGCCTGGCTGGAGTGCATTGGTGAGGAGGACACACAGAGCCCAGGTTGTGCAGGACTTTATGTCCCTTCCTCTGGACTCCATGAGTGAGACAGAAAGCTATTTATACGATGCTATTTATGACAAGGCTGCTCATTTGATATGATCTTTTTTTTTTTAAGATTTATTTATTTATGTATACAGAACTGGGTCCAGAGGTGTGGGGGGTGAGAGGAGTCACCAGAGCAGAGTGGGGAGCAGAACAGGCAGATTACTGAAAAACACTGCTGAGGGGAGCAGTGGGTGGGTTAAGAGAGGTCTGCCACACCATGTGGATCACCTCCAGGCTGGGGGTCAAACTTGTACTGCAGTGGCTGCAGATAGCTTCATTCATTAGTGCTGTGCTTTAACCCATTGCACCACCAGGGAGGACCCCATTTGATATAATCTTAATGCAAGTCATTTAACTTGTGACCTTTCATTTCCTTTTTTGTAAAAGGGTAATTCTTATTTACCTACGTCATGGAACTATTATGAATATGAAAACAAAGACTTAAAAATACTATAGTAATGGAAGTCTTTAGTGATAATTATCAATAATAAAATGTTTTATTATAATAAGTTTCTTAAATGATGTATCTTCTGAATTATTCTAATTTCCCTACTGATAATGAATATTGTCTCCATTTCTTGAATAGGGAGTGAAACACACAAGATTGTCAGCACAAGTTCCTTTCACACAACTCCAAATACATCATTGGGCCTGGTTCAAGCAACACCATCCAAGGTGCAGCCATCACCCACCGTGCACACAAAAGAAGCATTGGGTAAATAAACATTTGTTTGGATACATAGCATCTGACCACAAATTAAATCACCTTTGCACCCATGTTCATGGTTATTCTTTCTGTTCTTTTGAAGGTCTCATCATGAATATGTTTCAGGTTCCTACGCTTCCTGATACTTCTAATGACAAAGATGAATGGCCATCTCTTGATCAAAAGGAAGACATATTTGAAGCCCAGTTCCAAAGTAATAACACTGTCTAAGCTACTAAGGGCATAGCTTTAGGGTTCCACAAAAATATCAAGAACTGTACAAGATGTGAGCTGCTCTTGATTAGCTTGTCACATAAGGGCAGGGAATGTGTGAATTAAAAAGTATCCTAGTGTTTGACAAAGAACCCAATGTGTGTTATGGGTTTATTTTGCTTTTAGAATGAATAACAATAAATGCTAAAGAACAGACTTCTGTGTGGGAAGGGCTGAGTACTTGGGGTTTGACTTGAGCCTCACCTGGCAGTCAGGGCATTCAGGGAAACCAAGGTATTATGGTTAAAAAAAGAGGATCCAGCTAGACTCAGGATTTGAAATATAAAGCTAAGATGTTAATTGTCTCTTATGGGTAATAGAAAACAAAGATGCTAAAGGCTTTCTCAGTGAACCAGGAGGCAACAGCCCTGTTCCAGGAGAATGAGGAACACTGCTTTACATGTGATGGGAAGGCAAAGGGCGGAGGCTTAGTGCTCGCCCTGTGATCCTAACTCGGTCACTGTGGTTGTTTGTAGTTGAAGTTTTGCCTAAGAGTGTTTCTTCCCTAATGCAGTAATTGAATACTCTTTTTCTCTTGCAGACAATGAAGGGTCTTCTGAGGCTAGAGGAGTCAGTAAGATTATCTCATCCTTGTCATCTGCCCCTTTTGTGTTTGAAGATGGAAACAAAGAAAATTACGGGTAGAGAAACATCTAGTTAATAGAACATTAGGGGAGAGTCCTAAGTCTCAGTGACATGGGTGCTGCAGAGGTCCCTGGGACTCCGGGCAGTGAGGTGATAGGAGAATGTGACGTGCCCATCAGATGGTCTGGCCTCCAGTCTCAGCTCTGTCCATCATGAGCCTGTGACCACTTGCCTAGAAGATTGTTACTAAGGTTTTGCAGATCTTCAGTGCTCTGCAGGAGTTAGAGAAAGCTGATGCCACACAAAGCTCCCCCTACTCCTTAACAAAAGCATGTGTTGAAAAGGAAGTCTGGGGTTATAAATTATTAGAGAACTGAGGAATTCTATTGACTTTCTATTTTATTTTATTAGCTGTGAAAGAATTCACCAATAAAGGGATCTGTACATGCTGTGTTTACATTTGTAGGACTGGTAAAGCAGGAAAAGAGTGACTTACTTCTGGGCAGGCAGCAGAGAATGTTCCAATAGAGGACCCTGTATGGGGGTGCAGGAATTTTCACTTAGTGGTTTAAACCACAGAGAGAGGTGTCAATGTGACAGAGGTATCATGGGACAGAGAGGATTCGTATTGCGGTAAAAAGAGAGGGGGCCTAACTAGCCCTCAGACATTCCACAGCTGGACCACGCACTGGAAATAAGAAATAAAATACTGGTGTTTGTGACATTCTGCTGGCCATGGCTCTGACTCGTTTGTCCCTAAAACTTTAACTCAGCATAAAAAAAATTTCTGTATTTCCCACCTTTACTTAGCTAACTATAGATCTTTTATATGCATAGTTGAGCTTACACTCAGTTTTGTTACAACTGCTGTAAAAGTAAGGACAGGGTACATATATACTAACTAATGGAATAGGACAAATGGAGAATGTCTTACACTTACAGATGGAGAATGTATCTAACACTCACTTAGGTGGCAGCATTTGTATTTTTAAGCACACTACTTACATTTTCGCAAATCTTGCCTTAGGTTACCACAGCCTAAAAATAAACCAACAGGAGCCAGGACATTTGGAGAACGCTCTTTGAGCAGATTTCCTTCAAAACCAAATGTAAGTCAATCTCTGATTCATCCATGAATCGTTTCTTACAATGCTTTGCTCTTCGTTTTACCATATTAATGTGCCAGTCAAATGAGGCTTTAGCTATAAAACTGTACTGAAAAATATAGTGTCATGGACAGTGTGCTTTTGAACAATATTATTCTGTAACCATTTGAATATTGTGTGCTAGGCACTATATGTTTGATTATGAATGAATATGACATGATCTTTCCCTTGAGGGCCTACCCTATAGACAGGAGGAATGAATGACTGGGAAGACATGTATTTTTTCCTGGACCTGTAGTGGGATATTAAAACATCTGAATTAAACAGGAGTGGTCTGCCATCACCAGCATACCTAACACAAGCATCACCTATTTGCTGAGCCAGCATTCTGTACACACAGCTGTTGTGTCCAGCAAACAGTACTGAGTGTACCTCAGGATGTATCTTCTCCATTCCCCCCAGCCTGGCCTCTGGCTGCCATGTATCAGAGGGTAGCACTGAAGAGCTACATGAAATTGGGGGCTTAACTCCATGATGGATTCTTTTGAATAAATTATCATCCGACCCTCTAATCCTTCTGATGAACTTTTGACCTTCTTAAAAATTTCCCCAAAAATGGAATGGATTTCAACTATAGTGACATCATTTCATATAGATAAACTTATTGAATCATTCATCTACCTATGCTTTTAGCTGGGGAGAAAAAAAAAAAAAAAACAGTGAATTTTCTGCATATCCTGGTCCTAAGCATGTGCCAAGTGGTTTACTCTGTGATCATCTGCCAGTGTTGGAAGAGAAATGGTGGAATCTATGAGGACTATCCAATAAATACAGAAATTTGGGTGACATTTTCTTAGCAGCCAAAGAGCTTTGTTGTGTGATTCTGATTCAGCAGTTTCTGTCTGTGTGTAGGCTCTAAATCTTGATTATTGTATTCTTGGAGAAATAGCTGATTCTAGGGCTGGAACAGGAAAAATACAACATGGGCCTGGAGCATTTTATAGTGCCAAGAAGCAAGGAAGTGCTTATACTTAGCAAAAGAACAAGGAACCACCTGAACAAGCCAATGAAAGAATTTGAACCAGAACAAATTTAAATCAGAAAGTATGTAGAACAAGGGAGAATCAGAGTATAACCCAAGTAAAATAAATATCTATATTGATACAAATGGGGAAGAACAAACTTCCTTATAGAAGAATTCTAAGTAGTGTAGAAGGAATGAGTAGCAATAGAAAATAACTAATGAATACTAAAATTAGTGTTGCCCCCCTCAGCAGTGTATTTCAGTAGACCTGCCTGTTCTGCTCCCCACTCTGTCTCCGGTGAAGCCTCTCACACCCGTGCAACTCTGGCCTATACCCCAGCTCTTGTATGCATAACTAAATAAATAAATCTTAAAAAGGAGGGGGGGGCACTTTGCCCCTGATGTTCTTCCCAAAAATCTTATCACCAATCTCATCATGACAAAACATCAGATAGAATTTGGAGGACATTCCAGAGTGACACCAGTATTCAAAGGTGTTGTTACCCTGAGAAAGACCAATAAACTGGCCTTGATTAGAGGAGACCGAGGAGACATAATGATTACTGGCTAGATGCAACATGGTAGTCACAGTGGGTCCTGGAATAGAAAAGGAACATTAGTAGAAAAATGGAATACAGATAATGTCAACAGTTACTAATATTAAGTTTTTTTACAGAGGAAGCCTGATGAAGAGTCTGTGAGCTCTACTATCTTTCTAACTCCTTTGTAAATCAAGACTTTAAAAAATTAAAAATTAAAAAACTGGAAAGCAAAAACATGACCCCTTCCTGGAGTGTGCACACCCTTCCCCTGAGTTGTGTAAAAGACCAAGTGTCGCAGTTGAGAGGGAAGAACAGAACATGGTGTCACTGGAAACATGTCAGCCTGGGTTGTATTGTGATAATTCCTCATGTTGTTGGATCTTAAAAAATGTTACAGTGTTAAACTTCATGGACAACACGTAGACACTTCTTTTCAATTTATCTTTCATGGTAGGAAGTACCTCATACTGAAGAGTTTTTGGACGATTCAACTATCTGGGGAATCCGCTGCAACAAAACTCTGGCACCCAGTCCTAAGAATGCAGGAGACTTCACCTCAGCTGCACAGCTTGCGTCTACACCTTTCCACAAGCTTCCAGTGGACGCTCTAGAAGATAAAGGTGTGTGTTATGCTATTTGGGTGTCATCTTTAGTTCTTTCAGGATTATAGTTTTCTTCATGAAAAGTTTAAAATCATGATTTTTGATAAGTAACAAAGAGCAAATTATAGATATGTGTCTACAAATTTTATTCATTTAGAGATATACCCAATTACTATAACTCAACATATCATTTTCTTAGTTTTTTAGTGATTTAATGTTAAAAGAATAATGACAAAATTCATAAATGGTCCTTATTTCCTGCGAACATGTTACTACTAGATAAAAGATCTTTTTATATCTAAATTGAATCTAAATATATGATACATTGAGCACAGATAATTATTACCTATTAAGTACCAAATTGAAAAATATATGAGCCGAGACCCTTTACTAGTCTGATGACTACTGATTTACTCGCCAAACTCTTTTCACTGCTAGCATTTTTTTTGACAAGTAACAATTGTTTACCAAAGCATCCCATTGAAGAGCTGCTAAAGAATTTCATACCCCTCCATGGAAGCATATTTTAATGTGTAGATTTTATTTCATATTCCATTTCTCAGGTTTCAGGATTTTACTTACTAATTTTTACTATTTTATATATATTTTACCTCGTTCTTCATTTTTGGACAGTGTATGCTTTATCATCTCGTGAATGGCCCCCAAGAAATTCCCACCACCAAGTCACCTGTGCACCATCACTGTAGCCCCTTGTGCTCTTCCCACCCCCTATTGTAAATTGTGCTGCAGTAAACATAGGGGTGCAAAAACATGTATATTTTAAAATAGGGAATAAAATAATTTTCTTAGAGGACTAGTCCAGTTTTTTGTTTTAGTTTTTTGGGGGTTTTTTCCCCCCCTAAATTTTCGAGGAGAGTCAACTGAAACTTAGATAATTGCCAAGTGCCATTATACGCTTGCCACTTTAATACAAAAATTTATGAACTTTTTCCATTCAGGAAATCTAGTTCAGTCAGAAGTCTGACAAAAGTCAATATTATCTGTCCTTGGATTGTTTGCCACTTCGGTTGTACAGTTAATGTTCTAGTACCTAGAAATATCAGCACCTATTTGGTAAGGTATTATCTGGTGAAATTTAATTCATTGTAATAGTTGGCTCTATGTAGTATCTACATCACTTGGTAGAAAGGTATTCTTTATTTCTGCCCTATCTAGTTTGCCTATCAATAGTTTCTTGTTTGTTTTTACGTTAAAAGGAGTAAGGTGTAAATATTGCTAGGTAATATCTTAATGTAACATTTCAAATCACTTCAGTGAAATAAATGCGAACTGACTAAATAAAGTAGATTTCTCTAAAAGACGCCAAAATCTCTGCCCTCCAGAAGTGGCAGCCTTTACTCTCCAAGTCCTTGACATGAGGGTCTCCTCAAGCAGGGTGTGCCCTGCTGCCCATACCACTACCTTTCCACGTTGGACCTTCCACTCTCTAGTCCCTTTTCTTTTGAAGGATTGTACGGATTAAGTGTATCAAGCTGAAATAGTCACAAGTATTAGAATTTAGGTGTAGTGTTTATTTCTTTCAATTTTTAATCTTGTAGCTCATTTACCATGGAACACTTTTTGAATTATAATACATATCAATGTAAAAAGTGATTCTAGACTTTATAACCATATAAAATTGTATGTCTATGCACATGGCATATAATGTGTCTCTAATTTATTATGTATTTTAGAAAATGTACTAGCAAAACAGTACACCTACATGACTTTGGATTTTGGTGCAGAAAATATGGCAGGACCCTCAAAAGACAGGAAATTCAGGTACTGTGATGGTGTATGTGGTGCTGTTACTCTCCATTTTAATTCTAGCTTTGTTTTTTAATCTATGATACAATACCTATTCCCAACCCTGAAAAGCTAATAGTTTTTAATTGACTTACAGTGAAGGAGTTAAGGCAGAAGTTACTTTCTGTCAATAGAAATACAATGATTAATCTAAATACTTGATACATTAGGGGGTTGAGAGAGAGTGGGTAGCAGAGAATCCCCATGGGAACATTTTCTGTGACTAGTTTTTCATTTTGGAATCATAACTGCCAACCCTGTCACCAGCTAAAGACCATGACACATGAAGACTGTTGCAGAGCTGAGCAGACACATGGTTGCTTTCTTATACCAAGCATTACAAGTAAGAAAATCAGTAGCTTTCTTTTAAGAATAAGAAGTTAGAATGTTTGAGCCATTTTGGTGTTTGTGCAAAGATCAGACTTAAGATACATTAAGGATGAGAAGTATGAGAAGGATACTCCACCTCTGTGATACTCTCCCTAAAAGCCAGCACTCATGGTCTAGTCATGAGGAAAACATCAGAGAAACCCAAATTGAGGGACATTCTACAGAATACCTGGCCAGCACTCCTCAAAACTGTCAAGGTTTTGAGAAACTAGGAAAGATGAGGGAACTGTCACAGAAAGAAGACAGTGAGGAAAGTTCCGCTGAAAGCACATGGCATCCCACATTGGGTCCCGGAGCAGAAAAGGGCTTTGTGGAAATGCTGATGAGATGGAATGATGTCCGCAGGTCGATTAATAGCAATGTGACAAGTGATGGTTTGTTAGTTTAGACAAAGCACAGCTATATAACATTAGGGAAAATAAAGGGAGACATGTGGGAATTCTCTGTGGTCTATGCTATGACCCCTTAATATCACCAAAAGGAAAATATTTTTTAAAAATCCACAGTAGGAAAAAAGTGCTTGTGACCGAGTGAAAATGCAAGGCGAAGCTGCGTGTATAAACTCATTTGTGTATGTGTGGCTGTAACTTGGGGACAGCGTGTGGGTGAAGGTGCATGCACCACCTGCTCTTGTGCGGATGAGCAAAGTCACCGCCAACACGGAACTGACAAATGCTGAGCCGTTGCTCCTTCTACATGGTTAGTGTCCTCCAAGCCTCTGGCCACATTTTAGGTAAACACACTTTACTTAAATTTCATTGTTGATTTCATTACCATTAAGCTTCCAACCAACAGCCCTGGGACTCAGGCCTGACCCAGGCTTACCTATCACATGTGACCTCTATGCGGCACACCACAGCCTCCTTAGGCGTAGCAACACTGGTGCTGCAGCATTACATGTGGAAACCATTTTACCCTGCAAAACCACCAACAAAAAGTAAATGCAAGCAAAAAAAGTATTTTAAAGTACTGCAAAGGACACCTGTTTATGGTATAAGAGCTACAGCATGAAAGCAGAGGATCGCCTCAGCCAGCCCTCCTTGGGAACATGCATCCTGGGTAATGCAGAGTCTTCAGTGTTCTGCATGCCCGTGGAAGACTGCAGAAACACCATGAAGACTGACGTGGGGTTACTGATAAATTTTAGCTTCTACATGAATTCGCAAATAAGGAAGCCATGAGTAGGGATCAACTGTGTGTGCATACGTACTGTATTTGATTTATGATTGACATTTCTGTCTCAATGTTGTAAAAATGTTATTTATTTTTGGAACAGTCAGTCTGGATGATGACAGTGGTGTATAGATGAGAGATGAAATACACCCTTTCCTAACACCGTTTCCCACCAGAGAAGATCCACTATCACCTCACTTGTTTACTGGACGTATTACATGTTTATGATTTTATTTCTACTCATAGTAGATAATTATTTACGGATTTTAGTTTGCCTAAAGAAAATGCTTCAATCAACTCTTTATGATGCAATTTTGAAATGTCACTCCTAATAGAAAAAGAACTATTGTGGGACTTTTATGTGATCCACTAAGCTTCTCATCATGATGTATTTTGTTTTCTCTTCCACCCTTTTAACACATCCAGTCTGATTCAGGAGCAAAGCCCAGAAGCAGCACTCCCCGCCAGTGTATCTCCAGCATCTTCGCTCTGCGTGAGCCAGCCTGCTGTGAGTGATAAGCTGACCAGCGAGGCAGAGCAGAGCCTGGAGGCTTGCAGACTCACAGATACTGACCCCGCCTCTGCCATGGAACCTCCTGGTGTCGGTGTTGGGCTTCCAGGAGAGCTAATGCAGACCAGTTGCCTTGGGAATGTCAGTGCCCCAAGTACGAACAGATGTTCAGTCTTGACTGTCAATGAGTCAGGAGAATAACGTGGTAAAATTTGCTCCGTTAGGAAGCTCTAAGAGCAAGGCCTTGCATGCCCTTGAGTAGGAAACAGCTCTAATATGGCCTCACTGCCTCACAGTATAGAACAGTGGGCACACTCAACGGGCGAATCAGTCTGTGTGGATGGTAAAAGGCATCAAAATAACTACTTGTGGAGGAGAGAATTGGAATCTAAGGGCCTACTCTGTGCCAGGCATGTAATCTAATACTGTTATCCCCATTTCATAGAAAAATAAACCAAGTCTCAGGGTAAAGGAATGCTCTCCACCCCCTTCACTCAGTCTTGCATAAGTGATTAAGAGGGTAGACTATGGAGATAGACTGATTAAGTTCTCACCCTAGCTTCCCTTCTTCATCGGGGATGTGATCTAACCAAGGTGACTTTAATTTTCTATGTCCCTCTTCCTGTTTATAAGGTGGAGGGAACTACTTAAGAGTCTTACCACTTAGTGGCACTGCTAGAGAGTCTTACTATAAGGGCCAAATAAGTCACTAAGGACAAAGAATCCAAAAGAGTGTCCTCCATGTGCATAGTGCTAAGGAAGTCTTAATCATGCTGAAATAATCTGATCTCTCCAATACTAGAATTATTTTTGGTAGCATTCTAAATTGGACAGAAACTTTTCCCTTTAGAAATGATTTCTTTTTTGTGGACACAAATTACATCTCATACAATGTCCAAGTCTGCCTTTAAGACATGTAATCATTGTGTTACAGGCAGGTGAGAGAAACTTGGTGTGCTTATGTTCTTAGTATCGCTATCTTAAGTTTGTAGATCTAAATGACAAAGAATGAACTGTACCGAACTATCCAGCTTCATGTCTGACACTTCTTTATTATTTGAATCAACAGTCCTGGAAGACAGAGTTTTGAAAGCTTATGTAGTCAGTGTCTGTACTTGCTTTATCTAATATTTCTGCAGTAAAATTCTTCGGTACTGATTTTTTTTTTTGTGCCTATTCCTTTAAGACTTCACTGTTGAGAACCCATGGGATGAAAAGTTGATTCTCAAGCTTTTATCTGGCCTTTCTAAACCAGTGAGTTCCTATGCAAATACTTATGAATGGCATTGTAATCTTCCAGCCATCAAGCCCAAGACTGAATTTCAATTGGGTAAGAATTACATGTTAATAAAACTTTAAGGTCTTCCTCTCTGGTACTTCATGTGTGTGATTCTCCTGACTCCACCACCACCCCTACCACCGATCCTACCACCCTTCCCTGCTTCCAATAAAGAGCTTTATCTAGAGTATTAAGTGGAGAACATTTTGTTAAGCCATCACTAGAGGATTTTTTACTGCTGTGAGAATATAACTGAAAGATGGCAATTTGGCAGTCTCTATCCATATTTAAAATGCTTGTACTCTTAAAAGACCCAGAGATGTACTTTCAAGAATTTCCTGCATAAGTATTGCATACATACAAAAATGACCAGTGCATGTAAACAACAAATTGAAGCACCATAACTATCTGCAGGAACCACTTCATAAGTCAAGAAACATCTCTGCAGCAAAAGATAGCTCACTGCTGCCTGGGAATGATTACAAAGACTGCTATTAAGTGGAAGAACAGACTAACATTTTATGATGCATTTTATTTCTTCAAAAGGGGAAAGGTAATATATATTCCTATTTAATAGCATTTCCAGAGAACATTTGAAGGACACTTAAAACTAATGAAGATGATGAGTGGAAAACAGGGTGGATGTGGATAACTATGGGAGTAAGACTTCTAGCAACACACTTTGTGAAACAGTCGGTAGACTACTCTTACTAAAGCCCTTGCCTCCACCCCAGCCCAGTCACATACACACACTCCCTATTGTCAACTTCCTGCGTCTGTGCAGTACTCTTGTTAAAGGTGATGAGCCAACAATGACACGTCATTAGCTAAAATTCATAGTTTCATTAGGATTCATTTTTCATGGTGTACTTTTGTGGGAGTTGACAAATGTATGACTTACTTGCAACATGCAGCATAGTTTCCCTGCCCTAAAAGGCCTTGTGATTTACCCATCCATCCCTTCCTCCTTCCACTTCAAACCCTGACTTCATTAGTCTTTTTACTGTCTCCATCGTTCTGCCTTTTCCAAAAAGCCATAGAGTTGCCACCATACAGTGTTAGACCCACCTGATTGACTTCTTTCACTTAGCTTCATACAGTTGAGACTCCTTCATGTTTTTTTATAACTTGACAAATTTTTTAGTTGAATAATATTGTATGAACATACCATACTTATCCATTCACCAGCTGAAGGATGTCTTGGTTGCTTCTAAGTTTTAATAATAATAGGTGAAACTGTTTTATACATTCCTATATACTTTTTGTATGGCTATAAGCTTTCAGTTTATACCAGTGAATACCAGTGAGCGTGGTTGCTCACCTTATGATAAGAGTATGTTACTTGTGTAAGAAACTGCCAGACTGTGAGGTGTTACGCCTATGTAGGTAGGGATTATACTGTGTTTACTGTCTGCTGTTACTGTAGGTTTCAAAGACTAAAATTTTCTTCCGTGTCCTTGGTTGTGTGTCTTGTCTCTGGGTCTCCCCACAGAGTTGTTCTGAAGTAAGTTCTGCGGTATCAGTTCTTTCTCTCATAATCACCACTAGCTCTAGTGGTTTCTTCTGCACTGTCAAGTCGCCATTCTCCTCAGTTTCTGGAGCAGTAGCTTGCCTTGTGACCTCAATTCTCTAATGAACCCAAAAAGAGTTGTTGGTTTTCAGTTCAGCTTTCTCTTGTTATGAAGGAACAGTGGTGACACCAAGGAACTTGGTGTCCTGGTATATAAGTTCCTTATATACCAGACTAGAAACCAGAAGCCTACTTTTTTATATTTGATTTTTAACATGTGAATTATTTTTTTAATTAGCCTAAAAAAATAATGAAAATTTTACCTCTATGATCCTTCTCGTGAAACCCTAAGGCTGTGTGTGTGTGTGTATGTGTGTGTGTGTGTGTTTGAGAGAGAGACCTTAAGGCTTTTTTAATGGATCTCTACATTTACTTTATCTGTGATCTCTTCAAGTAAAATTCTTGAGTACTGAATTCATTTAGTGTTATTAGAAAATAGCAAGATAAAGTCAGTTTGAGTTCATAATTCTACACCATACCTGACCAGTACTCCTTGGGACCATTGTGGTCACTAAAAACAACTTAGAAACATCGCAGGCTGGCAGAGAAACTCGATGAATGTGTCTTGTGGTGTATAGTTAGCAGTGATAGGCCAGTGTTGGCTCTTTATTTGTGACAAATGCACCATAGTTGTGTAAAAGTTAACAACAAAGGAAATGGGACAGAACATACATTCTACAATCTTTGGAACTTTTCTGTAAATTGCAAACTATTCTAAAATGTTTAATAAAAAATTTAACTATCAGACATAATGGCACAGATATAGCTTGCCTTTTATGTTTCTGGTGTAAAATGCTTGTACTATTCAAAGCCATGTTATTTAACAATTGCAGATGTTTTCTACACGTCTTTTCTAACATCAAAGTGACCTTGCCAAGCAGGCAGCACAGATGTTCCCTCTCTACAGATGAGACGACAGTGAAGGGAGGGTGGTGGCCCGAGTCCCTGCTGCTGAGTGACAGGCCTGGCGGTCAGCAGAGCTGCCCTTGTATGCCGACACATGTTAAAAGTGGGCGATTTTGTGTTTACCTTTCATCTAAGATAGAGAAACGTCTCCTAAGGGAACTACATCTATTTGTATTTATAAAGCAATTCAAATGTCAAGAAAATTTTACAAATATATCAATAAAGTATGTCATGAGCTTTTTGTTTTTCATTTTGAAACATCTGTCTTTTTTAAGGTTCTTTTCAGATCTATGTTGATTATCTTCTTGGAGAAGGGGCTTTTGCCCAAGTCTATGAAGTTACCCATGAAGATGTGAATGATACCAAAAACAAACAGAAATATGTCTTAAAGGTAAAAGATTGAACAGGTTTTTCTGTGTTGTAGAAATGAATTTTAAACTTGAGTTTGTCCACCATGTTTTTCTCTTTTAAGCGAGCGGTAGTTTCATTTAGTTCTATAGCCATCAGTTTAGAATCAAAAACCATCCTACAAGGATTTAGAGTTACCTTGCCACTACAATCCCATAGCAAGTCCCAATCAGGACCAATTCACGGCTTGTCATCACTTTCTAGCCTATTTTGAGATGGAAATGGGATGGAAGTTGCCTTCTTGCTATCATTTTCCAGAACGAGAGACGGATATGAATGACACATACCTGATTTGCAGGTCCAGAAGCCTGCCAATCCCTGGGAATTCTACATTGGGACTCAGCTGATGAAGAGACTAAAACCAAGTATGCAACACATGTTTATCAAGTTCTATTCTGCCCACTTATTCCAGAATGGCAGTATTCTCGTAGGAGATCTCTACAGCTATGGAACATTATTAGTAAGTGCATTTACTCTTGTGATATAGACATAAATTTATGGCTTGTGTGTTGTACATAGCTTTTGTAGTTGGTGGCGGGTGGGCCCAAAGTGTGTGGCTTGAAATGACACTACTCCTGTACAGCCTACTCAAATTCTCTCTTTTGTTTCTAGAATGCCATTAACCTGTATAAAAACACCACTGAAAAGGTGATGCCTCAGGCTCTAGTTCTCTCTTTTGCTATCAGAATGCTCTACATGATTGAACAAGTCCACGACTGCCAGATCATTCATGGAGACATTAAGCCAGACAACTTCATACTTGGGAACAGGCGAGTGCTGCGCTTGCTGCTTCTCCCTGCACTGCCCAGCAGCCTGGGCGGCAGTGCTCATGCAGCCTGGCCCCCTTTGTGTCTACTACAGATTTTTGGAACAGGACGGTGAAGATGACGATATAGCTGCTGGCTTGGCACTGATTGATCTGGGTCAGAGTATAGATATGAAGCTTTTTCCAAAAGGAACTACATTTACAGCAAAGTGTGAAACATCTGGTTTTCAGTGTATTGAGATGCTCAGTAACAGACCATGGAACTATCAGGTATGGAAATAGAGAGATTTGAACCATTCTTGTTTATGACATTAACAGCATGAATTTTTAGCATGAATTTGGGGGGTCAGTTTGAACTGGTCCAGTTTTTTGTCCTTGGACTTAGGTCATACCTCAGTGTTGTTTCCTGTTGCAAGCACGCCACAGGGTGAGAGACTCTTGAGTCAGTCAGAGAACAAGAGCGTCCTAAAGGAAGGAGTAGGGAGGACTGCTGAACTGCCCATAGGGAGAGGGCCAGGGCTTTGTACTCACCCATATTATGAAATGAAGTCCGTGGGGAGGACACAGCAGCTCAAGGAGAACAGCTCCCCACAGCACTCTCCGGAGGGGTGAGGGGTCTGCTGTCCATGGAACTAACAGCAAAGCCTGGACATGCATTTAGTAGGACATGTCAGTGGGACAGCTGAGCAAGTCACTTCCAAAATTCTTTAAAAGTAAAATCCTGTGGTTATTTATCTTGCTGCCCACGTTGATTCTTAATCTACTCCTGTGTAAATTACTGTTTTAGGCACATATGCTTATATTTTCTCTATAGATTGATTACTTTGGAGTTGCTGCAACAGTGTACTGCATGCTTTGTGGCACTTACATGAAAGTAAAAAATGAAGGAGGAGTCTGGAAGCCAGAGGGTCTTTTTAGAAGGTAGGTGCCATCACTGGTACAGCAGTAAAAAGAGAAACCCCAGCATTGGGAGGAGGTGGAAGAGCACAGTCCCAGGTGTGGGTGAGCGAGTGCGCCTCAGAGCTTCGGGGCGCCTGTTTCCCCGCATGTAAGCAGGCGGAGCCACTGCTCAGAACCAGTAAAGGTCCTGGTGCTTGGCATCCTGTAACCACTCAATCCTCATGACCCTTTTAGAGAAATCACCTCGAGTCACGACGCCCTGGCTTTTGTTTTCTTGCCTTGCAGATGGGAATAATAGATCCTGCTTTCTCTTATCTGTAATAGATTCAGTGCTTCTATTTTTGAGGGGTAAAGCTGCATCTAGGGGAAAGTTGCATATTCAGCTGCCTCAGCCTTCGGAGGTCAGACACAGGGTGGGGCTGCACTGCCTGTTGGATGCTGCCTTGATCCTTTACTGATGCTTTGTCTCTTCAGGCTTCCTCATTTGGATATGTGGAACGAGTTTTTTCACATCATGTTGAATATACCAGATTGTGATCACCTGCCCTCTTTGGCTTTGTTAAGGCAAAAGCTGAAGGAAACATTTCAGCAACACTATACAAACAAGATTAGGGTCCTGCGCAATAGGCTAATCGTACTGCTCTTAGAGTATAAGCGCTCTCGAAAATAAAGTACAGTTACTCTAAAAATCATTTTGTAAATGTTCGCCTGCTCACTTTGAACTTAGATATTTCCACACTTATGGTTTATTTAAATGTTTCTTAAAAATAAAGTCCACAAAACATATTAATATTGCTTAGTTGTAAATATTTCAACAAAATATATACCATGATAAATTTCCTGTACAGCAGGCTAGTTAGGCTGCTCTTGGGAGACAAGCATTCATGAGAATAATTTGTATTAACATCCTCTAAAATCACTTTTTAAACACTGACCTATTTGTTTTAACTCAAAGGACCAAGATCAATCTTTTTTCCTCCAATTCTCAGGGTTTGTGTTTGTATAAAATAAGTGAAATTCTCCAAATATGTACAACAGACTTCTTATGAATAAAATTTGCTTGTCCTTGATCGTATCTGTTTTTCATTGCTATCCATGGAAAATATTATAGGTTTAAAAATCATAATGCACTTTGTTTTCTACAAGTACCATTCAAAGGAAAATCTTAGGTCTTAAAAGTATGCTTATAAACTGTATAGATCATTAATTAGTTCTAAAATTATAACAGCCAACTTAGCTTTTTTTTTTTTTTAAGCTGAAGGATCCTATAACACGCATTGCCATGTGCTCTCCTTCCCTCCCTCCCTTCTCAGCATTAAGATGAAGACACCTAGGAGACAACTAATTCCAGAATACAGAGGGAACTGCTGCTTCCTCCAGCCTTTTCCCCCCTCCCAGAGCAAGGACGAGCCCCCTTTTTTTTCTATCCAGGCATATTTTTGTGCGTTTTTTATATACCTCGCATGATTTTGGCTTGCTTTACTCACTTAGTGGCAAGTGTAGCTACATACAGAATGGCCTAGGTTTTGTTAATGCTAATATTTCATTTTATGATATATCTGTAATGTAAATTCTAGAAGTGAAATTGTTGGGGCAAAGACGAGCACTTCTAAAAGTCTATCAACATTTGCAAATAGCCTTCTTAGGGACGGCCCATATGCACCAGAATTGATCAGCAGACTTTGCTCAGTCAGGGCTGCATGGCCTTGCCACTGTGACAGGTGAAAACCTTATCTCCATATTCTCTGGATTAGGCCAAATATATTAATATATTAAAGAGTCATGCTTTTTTTTTTTTTTTTTTTTCTATTTCTGTGAGCCCTCTGTTACCTGTCCACTTTTCACTTGTTCTTTTACAGGTTAATTTGTAGGAGTCCTCTGTATAAAAGGCACAAATGTTTGTCCCAGATCTGTGATCTGTCTCAATTTCTTAGAGTTCTGTGCCATAAAATTTTTTAGATTTTTGTCTTGTACTCTGATATATAAAATTAAACTTTTTTTTTTGGTCTTAAAATGCCATTCTCAAGTGAGAAATAAGAAGTCCTCTGTTGATTTTAAGTATTAGAGTTCATTTAAATACTTAGGACTTTGGTTGCTAAGTTTAAGTCAGATTTCAGGTGTTTCTAGTTGGTTGTTTGAATATATGAAGCCTTCTGATTGCTAGAAAAAAGTTTTTCAGTGGATTCTTAAGTTTCCAAGTTAAAAACTACTATAATGCTTACCCTGCCCCATTTTTTTCTGGTGACTTTTCCCTTGCCATTTCCTGGGACTTTGAGAAGAAAGCTGACTGGCAGTGGTGCTAAGCGTTCCCTCTGCTTCAGTGGGGGCTCTCTGATGTTTGTCCTGCAGCTCACTGACATGGGCCAAGGTGAGCCCTTTAAGGCATGTTGAAGTAGCATAACTTTTCTTGCAGGAACAAAAGGGAACTACAGCAAACTTTTAGGCTTTTCTCTTCCTCATCTTTCCATCATTATTGGTCTCCATCATTCCCCTAGATGAATGATTCGTCATTTCTTTAAACAGTCACCTGTTTAGAGGCGCTTAATTTGTTTTTTGTTTTTTTTTCCTTTTGAAAATGACCATTTTCCAAGGGAACCAAGACTAAGAGTGCTTTTTGGCTGAATGTGTCCACACACACAACACAGAGTTTATCTACACAATGGGATAAAGCTCTGTCATCTAATCGCCAATGGGAGTGGATACAGCAGAAGGTGGGTGGATAAACTTGTAGCTCACTCACCTGAAGACGGGGCTGGGACTTATTCATCCATGTCTCTTACAGAGTTGAGTAGGGGCACTAAATGCACAAGTTTAGTTGACCTATTTTTTTTTTAAGAATTATTTTTATCAATGCATACAAGAACTAGGATATAGGCCAGAGGTGCCAGGG